CGAATAACAAACATTTCTTTTGAAAATGTATGGCATTATACCAGAACAACTCTAAATTGCGCAAGTAAATGGAAACGCCATGACTAATGTTTCATCCGAAATGTGACAGCGGCACCTTGATATGCATTTAATCCCGCGATCCATTATAAATTACAGTTGTGACTTGCCTTCTACAACACCGCTCATAACTTCTGCAAAAAAATGTGTATTCACATAAAACCGTCGCAAGCGTCGCAACGTCATAACTTCTTTCAAAATAGATGTTTTCAAAAGGAAAAGCAATGTTAGACTCAGCTCGTCCAGATGAGTCTTAAGGCATGCCACACTACAGTAACATCTAAGGATTACGGTAGATACGGTAGGAAGTCAAAAACGCGGATCTGTCTGGAACTTTGCGTGGGAGTGTCATAAAGCAACCCCTGCGCAAAGTTTCAGAGGGATTTGTTATTTTGACTTTCTACCGTATCTACCGTGCACCTTAGATATTACTGTATTGTGGCATACCCTGGAATTCGTCTAGACTGCTAAGTTTAATGTCGCTTTTCCTTTTGAAAAATATCGATTTTGAAAGAAGTTATGACGATGCGACGCACGGATTTGTGTGTGAAATCACTTTTTTTTGCAAATCATGAGCGATTGTCCTTCCCCTTTTCTGTAACAGTGGGTGGCTAAGACTCTCAGGTATTTCTACCCGAAAACACTGTGGTTCAGTGGAACAGCAGAAAATAAGCACGAAGGTTTATTGTTAGCACAGGTGAGCGAGTGAGGAGTCAAAGCCTCCAACATGGCGTAGGGGTCGCGCCCCGCCCCCGGAAGAGCATCATCGTCCTCGATGATACTCCGGGGGCCGCCAAATAGTACATTACAATACCATAAAAGTTAACATATCCTCAATTAATGACGGCTTGAAGATGTGCGTGGATGGCAGTATGGCGTGGGGCGAGACAGTTGGGCGGCTAGACATTGTGAGCGAGATTGGCGTGGAGGGCTAGCGGCAGAAGTTGAACGGCTGGCTGGTGTAGGTGGCTGGCAGGATTCGGCGGCTGTGAAGAAGTGTGAAGAGGGTGGCGATTAGTGTAGACGTAGTCGAGACTTAGAACCTCGGCCGCTTTGGGGCTGAGGCCCCTGCGATTATAAAGCAGTGAGTTGTGATCGAGACCACAACTGCTACTTTTGTCGTAGTTATCCTCATGCGCTCCCTTCAGGCACTTCAGGCAAAGCTGAAGTTTGCTGGCCTGGGCAGTGCGAGAGACGGGATCGGGATATCTTGTGCATCTACATGAATGGTGCTGGTCCCTGTTTTCCTCATAACTGCAAAAGGCGCAGTTAGAGGTTGGAGCGGTACGCTTTAACAGGGTGGCCAAAGCAGCATCTATGACATCCAGACGTGGAGATTGTGGATCAGCGCGGAAATATCACAACGATCCAGATTTTCAAAATAAAGTTTATAACTATACTTTTTGCAATCCGCTCAACACACACTAACACTACGCAACTATGCCCAACTCAGAAAAAAACTGAAAATGTGGCTTCTGCGCAGGTACAGTAGAGTGATGAACTAAAAAAACGAAGAATATCCCTTAGTAACAAATCTACTCTACAATATCATACATCTTTTCCCGGACAATAACGAGATAATATAATGAATTTGCTTTTTTTGAGTGAGATGTGATGAGGTTTGAAGCGCTGATTTCATATCTGCTTCATTATTTGCGCAACATTTCTTTAGAGTCAAAGACTTATTTTCTATATAACTTTTGCGAAACTTTGACTTTGCGCCAAAACAGTGATGCATAAGCTGCATTTTCCTGGGATTTCAGTTTCTGCTTGCGAGTGAACGCTGCTATTGTGATTTTAGCCATTTTTATTTGAGAGCAAATACTGACTAGCCAGTTTTTGCTTCTTCTGAGAGCGCGTACTGAACTTCTCATCTCCTAAATAAGAAATGAACAAACAAACTCAAATTTACAAAAACACTATTTTGCTTTAGCAATTTTCAAAGAACAACAACCTCACTATGCTTTCACAGCAAAAATCGAGAGATACTCTGTTATGATTAACAACGTCACTCTGCTCATATGAAAGGAGTGATCTTGCAACAGATAGACAGAAGCACACGTTCATACAACATAAATCAGCTATATAACTCTTTATTGATCAAGCTATTATCGGCAATGATGAATTTTCATAACTCCTCCCAAGAAGTTCTGTAGATAAGGAAAGCAGATATGAAAGGACTTCGAGCTCCATTTAGGAATGCGCCCTTATTCAGAAACATTCTAACTTATAGTGTTTTGTTTTAAGTAAAGAAAGAGTGGATACGGTAAAGTGGGAATGTCTACATCTTTACATGTTTTATTACCAGGGGATTTTCGGCAAAAATAATATGTTCCTTTGAACTTAGGTAAGAATTGAGAGCATCTTTCAGAAAGGGGCAATATAACATGCACTTTATGGGAAAAAGGCGCCCCGTATCAGACAAGGTTTCTACATTAGGCAACTAAGAGAAAAGAACTTACATTTTTTAGGGTGTTCAAATGTTAATGCTTTCAAATCAAGTACTTCAAATTTTAAAAAAATGGTACATTTGAACGCAAACTGAACTTTTTGTGGAACAAAATGCAAAGTGCAGCTTACAGCGGCTTGTGGTGATATAAAAAGTTTC